AAAAAAAAAATAAAAAAAAATAAAAAAAAAAATAAAAAAATAACCCAACCCCAGCTGTGTCTCTGGAAGGCAGCGCCCTCCGCCCGGGCTCACGGGTCAGATTTCTGGGGCATCGAGGCTCTCCTGAAACAGCCCCCATATTTCCACGTGCCACAAAGCCAGAAGAGTCTGCAACAATTTTCCATCTCCTGGTGTGAGCCTCTCGGGGGGTCAGTGACACTTCCTAAGACCTGGGACTACAGCAGGATCACCTGTCAACTCCTGAGATAAGACCAGCTCCCGCTAAAGTAGCTCCTCCAGAGGTTACGCGTCTGTTTTGTTCTGTTCTTTTAGGAGGTTTGGTGACCAGATAAAACCATCAGTTTGTCCCTTCTTTGTGCCTCCATGGGCGCCCCTGCCCCGTGACACTCCATGGTAGCGTGGCTGCAGCCTGAGCGGGGGGCATCATGGAATCCTGGGTGCATCGCTGCCCAACCAGCAGGACTGTGGGAGGCCCGGGTCCAGGGGACAGGGGCCTCCCCGTTGGGCGGTCGCGCTCGCGGACTAGGGGTACCGTGCACTCCTGAAACCGTGCCGTCAACACAGATGAACATTTGAGGACGGCAGACTGTGGGCAGACAGCCGTGTGGGGGAGGCACCCGCTGCTAAACCAGGGATTCCGCTGAGTAGAGGATGCGGGGACACCCAGCGGTCAGGCCAGCGGCGGCCAGAGGCAAGCGTTTCTCCGACAACGGGATCTAAGCAAGGGACCTGGTTTTGGCCTCGGTCCTCCCAGGGGACCCTGGAGAGAAGATGCGGGTCTCAGCCTCCCCTTTTGTGAAGCCGGTGTTGAACTAGAAGCCCACTCAGGCTCCTGGCTCTGTGCCTCCGTTTCCCTACACCCATCTACCTGAGAAGAAGGGACTGTATGAAGGCAGGCCCGCTCCACACGTTGGCATGTTGGAAGGTCCTTTTGCGGCTACGTTTCTATTTCTGACAGTAGCCATCACCCCAGTCAAGAAAGGGCATGTCTCCATGTTACCCCCTGGGAGTATGTCAGAGAAAACCAGCTTCAAAGGCAAAAACATTCTAAACTGTTTGGAAAAATACATACACATATATGTACATACATGTATATATGTGTGTGTGTGTATATATACATATACACGTGTGTGTATATGTATATATATATATACACACACACACACACATGTATACACTTGAGAGAGTGTGCGTATAAGGTTTCATCCACTTGAACTTACGTAGCATTTTTGTAAGTTTAAAAAACAAAGATATTTAACAAATAAGAACGTAAGTTTTCTTTAAAATATCCAGTGGCATGGAGAGAATGAGATTAACATGAGAAATAAGCAATGCCAGACCACTGGCTTAAGAAAGAAATACAGGTGTGTCTGCACAGGTCTTTCCTTCGGGGCTGAGGGTTTGTCAGCACCCCAAAATGCAACAGAATGAAAGCCACCCCCCCCTTTGGTGATGTTGTTATGAACCTCCCTTCCTTTCCTTGCACTTATTTGTGGCTCAGTGTTTCACTAACTTCTCAGCGGGCTCTGAGCCCGGGCCACGCTCCCTCTGCCCGCACGCACGCACGCACGTCACCCCTGCATGCCTGCTCGGCCCGCCCTGCGCTTCCGGCCGACCCTTCCACTCCTGGGCCCGAGGTCCTGTGCCCCCACATGCAGGGGGGTCTGACGAGGCAGAAAGTTACGGGATTGCGGTCATCACGTCCAGCACTCAGACCTACAATTCCACAGCCACCACCGTCCGTATCTCCTTGGTGCTCACCGACGTCACCAGATACTTTCAGGGTGCCCACAAACGAGCAGCTGCTACAGAGAAGCTTCTGGACAGGGGACCACCAGCCCTGCTTCCCTTGCACAGCACGGAGGGGAGGAAATGACCTGCCCCTACCACCGTGCCCAGGCTAGAGAAGGCAAGGCGTTCACAGACCTTCGGAGGAGCCGAGCATACAATCACGAAACAGATCGGTCAAGAAGTTACGGGGAGCCATAACCCAGGACGGGGCACTCATGGCAGAGCGGCCCACAGGGGGCAGAGGAGAGAAAGCACGCCATCCAGAGCCGGTGCCCACGGAGACCGAGGAGCCTTCGCGGCACTCGCACCCCGCGCCCTGCAGAGACACGACGATCCCACGTTCGCCCAGCACGGGATTCGCGGACAGCCGGCCACACACGGGGGGCTGCCCAGCAGTGTAGGGGGACGGCGGGCAGATCGCGGGAGCTGGAGTCCGGTGGGGCAGCTGGCACGGCAACAATCACGGCGTACGCGCTGCCGTCGAGGCCACGGAGGAGGCACCGGGAGGCCAGGCCGAGGGGCACGCGCACCCTACCTGTCTGCTGTCGTTTTCCCGGCAGCCCTGCAGCTTTATGACCGAGCCCGGCGTCCGGTCCACCACCGTCAGGCACAAGTCCATGTGTTTCACCGACTTCTCCTTCGTCAGGGCCCATTCCTGGAACGCAAAACTGCAGGTCAGGGGCGGGCCCCGCGCGGGCCCGCGAGGGGATGGGGCCCCCAAAGGGAAAGGGTCACGCTGCGGAGCCGGGATGTGGAGCCCCCGGGCCAACGCATGGCCCACACGCGACTTTCCGCCTAAGGGCGGGGCTGCAGCTGGGGGTGTCCGGGGGTGCCTCCCGGCGCAGCACCAAGGTTTTTGCAGACCGTCGTGGCAGCAGGGCTCCGAGAACGCCAGGAACCAAGATAAGCAGTATTAACTATGTCAGCCCCACGCCTGGGTGGCGCAGTCGGTTAAGCGTCCGACTTCAGCCAGGTCACGATCTCGCGGTCCGTGAGTTCGAGCCCCGCGTCGGGCTCTGGGCTGATGGCTCAGAGCCTGGAGCCTGTTTCCGATTCTGTGTCTCCCTCTCTCTCTGCTCCTCCCCCGTTCGTGCTCTGTCTCTCTCTGTCCCAAAAATAAATAAACGTTGAAAAAAAATATATAAAAACAAAACAAAACAAAAAAAAAACTATGTCAGCCCCAGACGCAAATCAGAGCACCGCGCTCATCTTCTACCCTTAAATGCGAGCTGGAGACACCGTGGCTCGTGCATGGTTCCCACAAGACGGACGGTGCAGGGCCAACTCTTCCACCCACGTCGTTTTTGGGAAGGCTCTGCGCCCCCTGCAGGCGTGGTCTGGAAACAGCCTTTACGGATGTGGATTGTAACGTGTGAAAATTATAAATTACACAGGGCCAATTTAGGCAAAACGTACAGCGTGTAGCCTCACTACTGGGCGGTGGGTGATTTAATGCTCAGGAAGGTCTGAGATCCCTGCGGCTGGGCCTATGTATTTACACACACACACACACACACACACACACACACACACACACAGCACAAGTAGTTATTCTGAGTGCTCGATAAGACTGTCTCAAACGGCAGGAAGCCAGAGAATGGGGAAGAAGTGGGAGTGTGGCCACGGGCAGAAGGCTCCCAGCAGGGCAGCGGGTGGGACAGGAGGAAGGTGGCTTCTGACCTCCGCTCTAGGACGGGACCCTTTCGAAGGGGTAAGCACCCAAATGAGCGCTCGGGATCCAGAAGCAGCAAGGCGTCTCCCGGCGCAGAATTCTATCGGGACAGACTACCCGTGGCGTCATTTCTGCTGCGTGCCCGGGAAAGCTGCCACGATACAGCCGTCCTCGCAATGACCCCACTGCGCCCTGCAGCGACCCAGGTGCTCTCGCAGGGCCGGGCCCAGGGCGGTGAACAGACAGGCAGGGCCCCGCCCTCGTGGGGCTGGCTCTCCAGCGGGGAGAACACGTAACACACACATGAATGTACCACGGACACTTAGGCGCTATTAAGTGCTTTGGAGAAATTATTTTCCTTTTCTTCTAAGGGGACGGAGATGAGAGAGGGAATAAATTATCATTTTTCTAAAGTGTATTTATCGAGAGAGAGAGAGAGAGAATGAATATCTCAAGCAGGCTCTGTGCAGTCAGTGCAGAGTCCAATGTGCGGCTCAAACTCACGAAGCATGAGACCCTGATACAAGCCAAAGTCAAGAGTCAGACGCTTAACTGATTGAGCCACCCAGGCACCCAGGGAATAAATGACCTTTTAAAGAAGCCTCACTATTCAATACCTAGGTCACCCTGGGACAAATGGTGGGCCCCAGACAGGCAGCCCCTGCAGGGACTGGAAAAGCCCTTAGCCTGTTCTCCGGCTGCCTCGCTCCTAACAGGGAGGCCGACTCGGGCCAGTGCCCTCACTCCCCTCGGCTTCAACGTCCTCACCTTTTAACTAGTGTTTCTCAAAGTGTGCTCCATGAGGAATTCTATGAAGTTAGTTCCAGGTCAAGTACATTTGGGAAATGGTGAGTTTGGGCCATGTTTCCCTCCGCAAATTCGGAAAGAAGTCTCTTAAAGGCTCTGAAAGTCCGAGGATAGAAGAGACCGCCCGGGCTGCTTTCCTTTGCGACTCTCAGACTCGGGAGCTCGGAGCCCTGTCCCCACCTGTCCCCACCAGCGGCTCTTGGCAGTGAGCTCTGCAGAGCGCCCTCTGGGAAGGGCCACGTGCCGCCTCTGAGGGGCGACTGCAACCTTCCACGATGCCGTCACTCAACGGTCGGTGCTTCTCAAGTGCCAACAGGTGCCCAACGTCACCGGCACTTGAGGGCGTCATTCACGGCACAAAGGCCCCCGAGAAGGAGGACGTGCATGCGGTCTTTCATCACGTGTCCAGCGAGGCTTGTGTGAAACAATGGCACCGAGACACCCCCCCCCCCC